AACTATTTATTTTAAATGTAATTTATTATAAATCCAATTTGTTTCCTAAATTTCACATATGTACTACATTTTACCTCTGTAAGCGCCACTGTTGTTTACTTGTTTTTTGGAAGCGCTCTCTAATTGACGGCAAAGCTTGGCAGGTTAATATTTAACGTATAACCGACCAGTTCGTACACCTGGGCGACTACAGCTACTACCAGAACACAGTGCGTATGCAGCGGTATTTCAGATTTTACATTGAATTTCATTTTAAATTTGAAATGATTTATCTTACGCTTCGTAAAAATGATGACACGATTTCCTTTTGATAAAAGACCGACAACTTTTTGCTCTACTTTGCATCGAATACGATCCTACTATAGGTCTAATTACTCATGGGCAATGTTATATGGTAGGTCGTGACAGTGATAGGTAGTAACGTCATCATAATATTGTTATTGATTAACTGTTTGTATTATTATTTAATTAAAATGAGTTACACAGAAGTAGAAAATTGAAATATTACTAGGAATTAAAATAGAATATACAGAAGAACTTTATCCTATAATATTTTAATTTTCTACTTCTGTGTAACCCATTTTAATTAAATAATAATACAAACTGTCAAACAATAACAATGTTGTCATAACATTACCTGTCAATAACAATGCCCATGAGTAAATAGGCCTCTCAGGGCCTAATTAGTGATATTTAGTTAAAATATCTAAACGCATTTTGCACTATATCAACGTCCGATTTGTCAAAAAATATTACTACTAAATGTAAATACTTACGTAATTGCAAAAAATACAGAAATGCTTAAAAGAGGTCTAGTAATTACAAGATGTCTTATTTTCTTAATAAAAAAAACTTATTTTCGTTTTTTAATGTTATCTCGCTTATTGTTAGAGATGGACCCAACAAACTCTATATGACTATTCTCAACAGGGAACGTTCTATCCAAATATGTAAAAATATACAGGGTGTTCCATTTAAATTAATAAAGTTAACATCGCGGCCATTTTATTTGGACTTCATTTGTTTTTCTACTATCATTTTCGAAAAATTCATAAAAAATCGTGTAACTTTCATAATATTTAACATTTTTTTATAACTCTTAAGGCGAAAAAGTTAATGGGGGGGGGGTCAAAATATAGTGAATCACCCTGTACATAATTTTTATCTATTGTAATAAAACCAAAATATTAGAATTTATCGATTTTTATACCATTTTTCCTCTTAATAATAACTTCCTCCTATCATTAATTTAACTGAAAATTTTGTTATACTTCTGTGAATTAACAGGGAGATCAAAAAAATAAGAAAATATATTTTTTTATTTAATCATTCAAAACATGAATTTCGTGCAATGCATTGATAAATACAAACTAATAAAACTTGATTACCATAATATAACTATTGTTTAGAAGCAAACGAAAATGGCATAATTCTTTAAACTCAAAATTCGTGCAAAAATTATTTATTTTATTGCTTTTTGATGACATATTCGTATTCCTCTCATTTTGCTATATCAAATTTAAAAGAATTGTCCTGTTAAGTTCTACCGTTCCCGAGAAAAGTCATCTTTTATCGCGCATACGCATTTTGCGCAGCTGCTCTCAGTCATCCCCACTCAGCCAAGAAATTCCAGTGATCACGGTACCTTTCTTGATTTTCTTTTTCATTAAGCATTTTATCTGCCGAAAATGCACTAAATGGATATTGAAAGTACTTGCAGTTAGTTATAAAACATTTTTTTCTGGACTTCACGAATACGTTAAGCTATAAATTATTATTAACTTTACGCTTCTATATCTCAGAATCTACACAGTAGAATGCGTAGTTTTTATGTGTGCAAGATTTTGTCGATTGCATAGAAAATTCCCTGGGCAATGTTGAAAAATTTTAAAAAAATTCTAAGTGGTTATAAAAGTGTAGAAATATGTATATTTAGTATTAATCATTGTTTATTATGACAACAAGTATCTCTAAAAAATTGTGTGCCCTTTCTAAACCCTAATTTAAACCCGCAGTATGCGATAAACTTTTTGAAATTTTCTTATTTAACAATCCTCTCACTCGAAAACCACGCGATCCATCGTTGCAAAATTTTTACGGTAGAGTTGACATATTTTACTATTTGTTCACAAAGTTTTATCAATATTTATAAATATTTACTTATTTTAAAAATTGCTCCAAATATACATATGATTTTCTACTATTTTCCACCCATTGTTAATGCAAAATTCAACTTTTTTGATTCGCAATTCTTGTAACTTTATAGAAAATAAACAAAAATAAAGGATGACTTTTTTGATCTAGGGCTTACTTTCAATGTTACAGGGAAATATGTTGAAAAACGGGTTATTTTTCGTTCTTTCTGTTTGTTTGTTGGTCCCCTGAATTTAGCAATGGTTTTTTGGAATAGCTAAACTCGGATTCTTATTCTATTCTATTTTTTGTAATTTTTCTGTACAACAAAATAGATGACTTCAAATACAAACGCCTGGACTAAAACTAGTCTAGAAAACTATCCATTCATTTTTGTCAAATACTCTTAAAACTAAATAGTTGTCAGCCAATGCCAATTCTTTCACGCCGAGTTAATCTTTATTTGATCAAATGAGCTAATCTTTATTTGATCAGTACATCTGCTAACAATAATGATCCCCTAATTGGCGGCGGAATCGAAAATAACTGCGTCTAATAAGCGCTGAAAGTTATGTATTTCGCAACAATATCAGCGAACAAGTTTATAATTGTATTTGTAAGATTAAGCAAGCGGAATCCTGAAACCGTCAGCGCCAAGTTGATTAAAAAGTTTAAAACTAATTTGTCGTCGGCGGGCATTGATACGTCCTTATAAACTGTCATAAATCTATTTGCGCGAGTTATACTTCACGCGCCGGTCTTCAACTTTTAATTGAATTCGCGGTACCCAAAAATAGAAATTTCATGGCTTTTAGATGTATTATTGAAAAATTTATTACCAAGTCAAATCGCGGCAGGGACTTTTTTTAAGATACTTTGGTGACGTAAGTTCCCCAACGAAGCGGAATTCAATGAGGAGCTTTCTCAAACCGTATTTTTTAACTTCGTAAATGGAAAATCGACAACGTTTCTAAAAATGAATATAGTACAGTCATTGAAGCTGAAAATCAGCTGCACCCTCCGAATTCTCTGAAACCGCATGGATTTGCATGCAAATTTAGAATAAGGCTCATCTTAGGCTCAAGTTCAAAAGTGACATAAGCCCGATTGACGCTTTTTGTTTTTAGGGGTAAAAACTACCCCTGAGTGAAAAAAATTGAAAAAATTAAGTTTTAAGCATTTTATTGATAAAAATCTTTTTCAAGCATAAAGATTAAGTAATGTTCCATGTTCTCGAACATGTTCTATGATATATTTGATCTCTTCGATCCTTTACTTAACTCTTAAAAACTACCCCTATGCAAAAAATAATGATAAAAAATTACTGTTTAAAGATTTGGAATGATTAAATCTTGCAATTATTTAAAATAAAAGTTACCTTATAGCTAATAAAATAATTTTTTCCTTTCAACCCCTAAAAACCACCCCTGTATTGACAAAAATGATCAAAAATTACTTTTTAAAAGCTTGGAATGCTTTAACGGTGCAATTATTTAAAATAAAAATTCCCTCATAACACTTTTTAACACCTATAAGTCACCTCTGTGCTAAAAAAATGATAAAAAATTACGTTTTAAATCTTGGAATGCAGTAATTTAAAAATGTCACTTTACCATAACTCGGTTAATTTTGAAGCTATAGTATCCTACAAAAAAGCATTTTAAAGATAATTTCAAAAGCTGTAAGATCGTTTGCATATAAAACCTTTTAAGTCCTTCGTTTTTAAAGGAAATGATCGAAGAGCTCGAGACAGGTCATTTTGTCGCTAAATACTTCAAGCGGCGATATCTCCTTTATTTTTTATGTTGTAGGAATAAAGAAAAAAGCAAAATATTTGTTGAAACAAAAGCTACATTTTTGTTGTCTATCATTTTTTACGTATCTTTCATAGTTTTAGAGATATTATATAAATAAGGCAATTTTTTTTTTGAATAATGAAAAATACGTTTTCAACTTTTACCATACATTATTAAAAAAATACGCATTATAAACCGGTCAAACTTCAGGATCGTATGAAAAACACTAAAACAAAACTAATTGTAAAGGGTCTACGTTTAATTTTAATTCTGATGGAAACGGTACAGCGTTTACTGCTCATTTTTCCTTAAAAAATATGAGCAACCTATCTGTTTTTGACGATAACTCCTTCGATTTTGCTCTAATTAACTTTTATAAGTGCTCATTTTGAAGGTCTTTTTGAGTACTACAAAAAACTCCAGGAGCGTTATACACGAAAAAATAATTATTTTAACGTTATTTGACATTGAATTCCACTAACCATATTTCGCTTTGTATAGGACGTACACTTTTTAAAAAACGATTTTCATTGTTCATTACACTTTTTTAATAAAATGTGTAGTTTTTGAGTTATTCGCGAAAAATACTTTGAAAGGGTGTTTTTTTTTTCACTCAATATTGAAGTTTTCAATCAATGAATAACTAAAAAACAATTGATTTCTCGAAAAAATTCTTCGAATATTTTTTGCTCAAAATTTGATTGTCTATCGATTTCCAGCGTTATTTTTGAAAACAAATTTCTACCCCCAAGAAGGTGTGTCAACCCCCAACAGGGTGGAAGCGTCAATCGGCGCTATGTCACTAATGTTCATTGACCTTTTCTCTAACTACCTGCCAAACTTCAAGTCGATCGGTTCAGTTTCAAAGAATTCAGAGGTGAAAAGCTTCAATGACTGTACTAATATTGTTTGGTGAAACTTGGGCAGTCGAAATACTAGAGGGGACAGGTTTTTGAAGCCCTAGAAGTTCGAACACAACAATATAAACATGATGGAAGTGAACTAGTATTTTTATCTTTGCAGCAGGACACAGGTATGCAATATACCGAGTTATTTTGCACCAAGACTTACCTTCTCTCCTCTGGAATCTTTATACGTGACCCACTGGTTGAGAGACGCTCTCCAGTACTCTACCAAAAACGCCTCGGCGTACTCCTGGCCCTGACCGTTACCGAAGCGACCCTGTGTCTCGGTCCACGTCATCAGGTGGTTCTTCTGGAGGTCCACCTCCAGATACTCCTTCACGTCACTGCTTATCTGCGCCTTAGGACACCACGCGCCTCCGTTCTTCTCCTGCCTTATCCTGAAACAAAAGAGCAACGTTTGAACCGTTCATAAGTCAGTTTGGAAGTTGATGAAAATATCATGACTCTTCAGAAAATATAGAGTTAGCGAAATTGATGAATTTCACTAAGGAAGAAGTTCAGCAGTGAAGGTTTAGGCTGACAGTCTTTAAGAAAAATTAACATTTAAAACCAAATTATTGAAATTGGAATATTTTCTCTATATTTTCAGTGTAAAACTGAACTAATGACCAATATTTTGATTTATTTACATTGATTTATATATTCAACATCAATTTCTAACGTTTCTAATTTATGGTCTTGCTCCTCCTCATATATTTATAATTTCCATTATTTTCCCAATCAAGCGTTTGGTTCTATCGCACCCCATACATCTACAACCGCTCTATGCACATTATTTGATTAGTCGCCACCGGTCCGAACAAATCGACAGAACCGGAAAAAAACGTATTAGTCCAGTAGGCGGCGGTCCAGAAGCAGTCATTTTCCCCAAAATCTGTTTGTCACGGTTGGAAATCTTTTACAAGATGGCGCTGTTACAAATTTTTTTTATTAATCGTTGTTTTTCTTAAAACTGTTGTCCACTTTCTAAAAATTAATGAAACCATGAAATTTTATAGAAATACTCATCAATTCATGCATAATAATAAGCTTCGAAAACCCATTATTTCTTTAATAAATAAGCAAGTGGTAAATTGATCCAAAAAAGTTCATCTTGCGTTGGAAATACTATTTTTTCTACTCCTATAAAATTTTACGTTCAATTTAATTCAAAGTGAAATGATTATATGGTAATAATTTTTTTTAGTTGTTAAAATTGATGACATTGATGGTTCCACCTCTCGCAAATACGACATAGCTTGGATACTTCCGTTCTGAGCTTAATTTATGCTTAAAAATAACTTATCTTGTGTTGTCCTGCTACAAGGAAACACTTTTATCTTAATTTCCAAGTTTCCGTCATATTTACGTCTGCCTGTACAAAACATGAGAATTGGATGAGGTTTGAGATATTATGCAACCTTCTTCAATGCAAACTACAAAACTAGCGCATCATAACATCGTGAAGTTCAAGAAAGAGGGCAATCGGTCTAAAGTTATTCATGAACAAACCAGGAAAAGGAAAACAATTACGTTTCGAGAAATACGAAGTACTAAAATAGTTTTGAAAAAAATTTGCATCTATTAAGGTAAAATATAAACGCATGTTACGTAAAAAAAATTATATTTTCAATTTCCAAACAAATACTTATTTTACTAAACATTTCTACATATACAATATACAGGGTGTTACTAAATAAGTGTCGCAACGGAAAACTGTAAATTCCTCTTGAAAAAATTATTTTTTTCCTCTTCCATTTTTCTCTCCGGGCTTTCGTTTTCGAGATACACGGTGTCAAAACTTTAATTTTTTTTTAGTTTTCGCCAATATCTTAGGAATCGTTTGAACTACAGGACTGAGCTTTTGTACACACATTACCACTATTAATAGCTACTTTTTCGCACCCTTCTCGAATTCATTGGACGTGCCAATGGTGGAGATTTTAAGGTATCGTAAGGGTTTTTCCCCCCCTAAATTTTACGCCACTGGAAAAATGGACTTTTGACAGCAAATTCTAAAGCGCCAATGAATTTTACACAATAAGAGTTCTCTTGGTTCATTGCTCTAAAGTCAACCGTTTTCAAGAAAAATGACTTTTTATGAACATAAGCAAACATTTTGCTAACGTTTCGAAAATCTTTTGTAATTCAAAAAATAGGTAGTAATAATTAACAATTTTAACGAAATTTAACAACAGAAAGGATTTTAACTTTTTTTTTATCAATTTCGCTAGTAAAATTTACAGAGTGTTCAAAATTACGTCCGTTGGCTTGAATGCACGCATTACATCTTCTAATCATGTTTCTTTCTGTTTCACCTCTATCGGTCAACTTTTCGATAGTATTGACATGGAACGTTAGCAAAAATGTTTGCTTTTGTTCATAAAAATTCATTTTTCTTGAAAACGGTTGACTTTAGAGTCATGAACCAAGAGAACTCTTATCATGTAAAATTCATTGGCGCTTTAGAATTTGCTGTCAAAAGTCAATTTTTCCAGTGGCGTAAAATTTAGGGGGGGGGAACCCTTACAATACCTTAAAATCTCCACCACTGGCACGTCCAATGAATTCGAGAAGGGTGCGAAAAAGTAGCTATTAATAGTGGTAATGTGTGTACAAAAGCTCAGTCCTGTAGTTCAAACGATTCCTAAGATATTGGCGAAAAACTAAAAAAAAATTAAAGTTTTGACACCGTGTATCTCGAAAACGAAAGACCGGAGAGAAAATGGAAGAGGAAAAAAATGTTTCATTTTTCAAGAGGAATTTACAGTTTTCCGTTGCGACACTTATTTAGGAACACCCTGTATATATATGAAAATTTGCGCTTTTCAGGACAAAACTCAAATTTCAAACATAAAAAATGGCCTGAATATTTATCTTCCAATCCAGTCATCTCATTAGTCTCAAAAACAAATGCCCCTCGTGTTCCACAGCGCAGTGATAAAGTGCATAATAATCCGACAAAATCATGATATCTTCTATATTAATCAACCTCGAACGCATCAATTATATGGGACCTGCAACGACCTCAACTGGCGATATGGAATTGCACTTTGGTCCCTAATCAAATAGGTATTTATTGAGCTATTAGTTTGGTCCGGTCCAACGGACGATCACGTGACCAGTCGGTTCTATCGCAAGGCAGTTGTTGATGGCCGCCATTAACTTTGTCGTGCTCTCCGCTAATTGCTTAGTCCAAATGGCTGGCAACGAAGGGCTTGAAGGAAATAAATATGTTGCCATTTGGCGATTAAAGCATCTTCTGAAGATGAAGAAGTTTGCTTAGAAGTGATACTTGAATGATCACACTGAAACAAGATCTTTTCAAATCCCCATGAGGAGTTTGGCAAAGAAAGATTTCTGGATATCTGAATAGTAAAATCATAATTTTTGAGGATAAAATGTTATATCGTACTGTAAGCTTCATATAATGTAGTAAGGATCCTTTTATAAATTTTAGAGGGGTTATTGATGAATGATGAACTAAAACAAGTTTGCTTTTAGTCCAAAATCTTTCCAGACTTTTTTAGTTTGCGCTTAATAGTAACTTTTATAGAGGAAAGTTTGAGTCCATTCGATATTCTTCATTCTTAAAAATTGTTATTCATTTGAGGGTTGTATATTTTAACGATTTAAGTAATTAATTCTTCTACAAACTGTTTTTATTTTCCTTCGAAGCAATGAGCAGAAACTGAGCGTTATGTCGCGTCGTGTTTCTCGCAATAATCAGTATTCACATTTTTTTCCTTCATCTCCTTACCGTTTAAGAAATACAAGCATTCGACCATTTTAAAATGTCCAGCTCGTGCAAACTCCATTTTTTCCCGTTAGGGCGGTACATGTGGGACGCAATTCCCGACAATTGCGAGCATCTCCCAACCTGTACCAGCCCTGAAGAACAGCAGCCCCCATGAATAATTAATGGCCGTAATAGATTGAATACTCAAGGAGAATAACAACCATTTTTCTCTGCCAGGGGCGCCTTATCTCGTGTATAAGAATCGGGAGAACGACCGAGTTAAATTTATTGCATTAGTACGACTTTTGTAACTGGTTTAAATTATACATTTATTGGGATGAATTCAAGAGGGAGTCGTTACCACTTTTTCAGCGAATCAGAGTAAAAAACTGCCAAAAAATGAGGAGCTGTGATAGCGCCAATTTATTTAAATTAAATTCCCGTAAACTGATCAATACGTTTCCACTTGTCTACTTAACTTTTAATAAAATAACCACCACTGAAATAAATGACATATAAATATAAACGAATAAAAATATAAAATTGTTCATTTTTACGTCTTCTATCGCTTTGAAGGAATGGGTAAATACAGGGTGTGGCGTGTATAATCAATACACAGCTTCCTGATGATATTTATAATAAAAAAGTCTTAGACGAAAAAGTTCTAATTTCGCGTTTTTTTATAAATTAAAGTTCATTTATTCAACGAAAATGAAGGCCGACCCTGTGTTATTTATTAAAAATTTTGGAAATGTTTTTATGCGACCCGAGATGAAAAGAAGGTTAGGTTACATTGTCAAAAAATTTGTGCAGTCAATTGATTTTGTATTTGTATTGAATTTACTTAATTATTAAATATTAAGCATCGTCCATCGACCCATCAGTGTTAAAAAGTGAAAGATTCCTGACAAAAGTTTTTATTTTGTAATTCCACGATAGTGACAGTACAATTTTTATAAAGAAGTAAAAAATAAATATAGCGTGCCGATTACATTAAAAACGAGATTCTTATTTCTTACTTTGTTTAATTTTTTATGTTAGTTTGTGCACAAACTAGTTTTACAATGCATTTACTATTTCCGAACGTGTCGATATGGTGTTAATGTATGGTGCAGCCGGAGAAATTGCGCTCGCGGCAACTAAGTTGTACCGGAAACGATGGCCATAACGTCACCCCCCATGTGCAAATACAATCCTACAGTGCTCTCAGCGGCTGCGAGATACGGGAAGTGTTATTCCTCGAGTAGAAGGACGTGGTCAGCAAGTGAACCTTAATGTTGAATATGCAGTGTTGGAAAATCTTGACGAAGAACCCACAATTAGTACTCTACAACTCGCACAGCATGTAGGAACCTCATCTCGTACCGTACATCGCATCTTAAGGTGCCAGCTGTTGCACCCTTATCATGTGCAACCAGTTCAACACATTTTACCCCCGGATTGTCATCAACAATCTATTTTTGTTAGTTTGTACTGTTGCATTGAAAAATTCCTCAAAAATTGAGAAGTATCTTTCTATCTTTCAACGATGATTTGTTTACGCGGCTGGTCTACAGCACGTAACTCATCGAACAACACACGGACAGGACCGTTCCAGAGAAAATATTTTGATCCATAATTGAACTTTAATTAACGAAAAAAAACCGCAAAAATAGTTTT